GATGTATATTCATTGGTCTTGAACAGAAACTCAGTCTATCTCATACAGTTCTTTTTTTTTTTTCTTAATTTTCTTTTGTAGCTGCAGTTAATTAACCTCTTTCTTGTTGATTAGTACACCAATCTGATGCATTTCCTATCTTGCAATTCACACCATTAATGTACACAGATTCTCACCGAATGTATGTGTCAGGATTAGATTTTTGTTGTAGTATTATTTGAAGAAAGCAATAGTCGAGAATCAGAAAAATATCCAGTCCAGCGAAATGATATGCTGTATGGTGAACAAGTAAGGCTTCATCAAGTTGTTGTTAATGTTAGCAGTCAGCCATTAAGTATATTCAAAGCTCTAGGTTATTCAGCTCTATTGCTCTTTTGTTTTCTGCAGTTTAATTGAATCTGAATTGGGGTTGCTTTAATTTTTCCACTGTGATGAGTAGTGAAGGTTCATACAAGCTGAGATTTGCTGAAGAATTTGAGTTGTAAAATATAGATTAGACACATTTGGATTAGATTGTTTTAATGCATAAAATTTAGATTATTTTTTCCAAAATGTGTAAAAATGGAGAAAACGTGTTTGCGAATCATGTTACATTATAAGGAGTGGATTTAATTTTTATATAAATTCGTCTAAGAATCTCTCGGTATACTTGGACCTTTTCAATTGTTTCTCTATCTCTCAAAGATATATCTCGAGCATATATCGGCTCTCTTCAATTTTGACATGTTACAACAAGTTAGAGAAGACTTTCTCGCCAAAATGATTATTATTCAAGAACGAGTTTAATTACAAAATCACTAAAACCATTTTACTTGTACCAACAACATTTACAACAAACAATATGAGTTGGATAAAAAAAAAAAAAAAAAAGGATTATTAGTCAAATATTATATAATCATAATTATTTGGTATAACATTTTAAATATAAATTTAACCAAGTTTTATAAATAGATCTTTTAGCAACAAAATTGGTGTTGCCAATCACAACTTTTAGTAAAACAAAATTTGTTTAATTACATTGTAATTTTTTTGTAAAGAAATAAGTTATATTACGAGAAAGATAAACTTTTATTATCATATTAAGAGTTCATGTTAGCAAAAAAAAACCCCCATTTGGTTTGACTTATTTATCGAATAAAAGAGTTTTTTTAATTTCAAAAGATCATTTTAATTTTTTTGAATCATTTGATGTAACTCAAAAATAGTTTATGAAAATAAACCACTTACATTTGACGAGGGCTTCCGTTTCAGATTTGGGTTCACAAATTAATATTGGAGGATTTTGGATTATTAAAAAAAAATGTTTTAAATCTATTAAAAGAAATTCAAAATTTGAGATTCCTCGAAACTATTTTTTGAACTTATAACATTGTTGATTCGTAAAAAAATGATAATCACTAAAACCCCCCAAGGTTTACCCAAAATTTGAGAACCCCCTTAGGTGCTAGTAGTGAACTAGTGATGTAAAACCCTCTAAATCTGTCAAATGTTAGCAAATCCGTTAAAGACTTACAGTTGTCAGAAAAGGAGTAAAATGATTATAATACACATTTTAGGGGGGTCTCAAATTTGGGCAAATCTGGAAGGGTTTAAAATAACTGTCCTTTCTTTGTTATAAGTGGAACTTAAGGGCTTTTGGTTGGCGATTACCGGGTTATATCATTTTATATACTTTATTACCATGGTTGTCAAGTAATATAAGATTCTGATAATCTTCAAATACCAATATAATTACTGTTGGTAATATTGAAAGTAATCTGATTACCTCTATTTCTTGGTATTGTAAGATTACAGGGTGATCTTTTTTTTTTTTTTTTACAATTCTATGCCTTATTAATAAAATTTTTGGACAGTAATGCCCTTATTTTTAAATTTACTTACATGATGTTGCTTTTACTATTTCACCCCAATTAATTAACTTTTTGGACAAAATTACCCTTGAATTCAAAACAAATTGCAGCCCACTCAAGCACCACCCCCACCCACTTGCCACCAACAATCACCGCCATGGCCAACTGCCAAAAAGGCGCACGAAGGTCGAAAATGTACCATGCACCAATATGGCCATTCCGGCCAGATATCTGGCTGGAAATAGCAGAAGTGAAAGATTTGGTTGTCAACGGCCGGATCCATCGATTTGGTTGTTGAATGGCATACGGCGCACAGAAGCCCTTTCTTGCCTTCCGTGCGCCATTAGGTTGTCGGCTGTTTGCGGTCAGGGTGATTGCCAGTGGCTGGGTTTGGGGGGTGCTTTGTTGATTTTCCAAACTTTTATCATGAGGTTGTTTTTGCTAAGTTTTTAAATAGGGGGGTATTATAATCCAAATAATAATCAATATTAAAAAATAATATAATAATAATATTTAATTAAAGGATAATTCAATAATTTAAATAATTATCCATTAATTTATTCCCCCAACTAAACATATAATAAAATACCAATAATTTATTTCAAACTAAAATACATTTTCTTAAAGATTCACAGTAATCTTCAAGGTAATCTAACTTTTCAGTAATCACCATTCCCTGAACCAAATGACCCTTAAGGTTAAAGATAAAAATCGTATTAGCCTCTAAAGCTGTGTGAATTGTTAGTTCTGGGGGAGTTTTGTGTCATTATTGATACATGTAGAGGTTTCTAGTTGAGTAAACAACTTTTTCCCACCCAAGGTTTGCCTTAATGACCTTTTCCCACCTAAAGTTTATATTCTGTTAATATCTAAAATACACTTCACTTTCTTAGTCGGCATTCAACAAATTACCAGGAGCCAAGGTAAGAAGAGTTTTGTAGAGTGGAGGCTAGTAGATCGAATGGTGGTGATCGATTAAATATTTACTGTTGGCATCAGTTAGAAATCATCTAAGAATATAAAACCCTAGCTTTGTGGTAGTCGACAATCGATGAGAAATCAGGTGTCGGAACGAGAGGGGTTTTGTAGAGATGAGACTGGAGGTTTAAATGGTGGTGATAGAGAGAATTTTCGCTATCATGATCAGCCAAAATTGGCTTTGGATAATAACGAAATGTTAACTTTGGGTGAGAAAAAGTCGTTTACTCTTTCTAGTTTGGCCAAGCCTTGGAGAACTTAAATAATTCTTCCATGTAAAATATATTATATATATATTCATAAAATCTATTTGAAGAAGCCGAAACGAATATGTTGACGAGGGCTACATAGTATGGTCGGATCCAATTTTGAAATCCGTTTAGATTATTACTAAAAATACCCACTCAATTTTAAAAAAAATAAAATTACACCACTTAGTACACCGATGTGGGTGCCCAACACTATTGGGCTCAAATCTAATCTGCAAAGCCCATAAAGACAATGGTTTAACTCGTAAATACTTAACAATAACAAGGTAAAAACAAAAACGGTAAAACTAAATCAATTTCAGGCGGTTCATATAAAATTTAAAAACACGCGCGGTCCCCGCCTCTGAAAAGAACAAAAAACATTTTTCAAAAACGTTTTGCCGCCAAAGACTGCGTTTTTAGATCTCAGCGGGAAACTAATTAAAAACACAGAAAACTGGCGCCACAACCAGTCCATTAAAATACAAAAACAAACTCATTCTGATTCATTTTCATCAATCAAATTCGAATTCTCAATTAGCAGAGCAAGTCTCAGAGAAAGAGAGAGAGAGCAAGAAAGAGGAAATGGCGAAAACAGTAACCCCAGATGCAATATCAATCTTATTATCAAACCCCTCTCCAGATTCGTCCTCTGATCTCCCTGAGATCGTCGTCCAAGTTTTAGATCTCAAGCTTACTGGCAACCGATACATGTAAATCTTTTTTATTTTTTATTTTTCATTTTTAACATTTTTTTGGTTTATTGAAGTTTGTTTCCATCTGTTTTTTATTTTATTAGTAGACCCGATAGATTTGGTGCTTAGATTGGTTTTATGAAGCTAGGCTAAAGGTATTTTAAATACTTTCTTGTTTGAGTATATGAAGCTTGATTTAGATATCGTGGGTTTGTTTGTAGGTTTAATGCTAATGTATCAATAAAAGAGTTTTTTTAATTCAAAAGTCATTTTTTTTTTGTTTTTTTGAATCATTTGATTGTAACTCAAAATAGTTTAGAGTTAAATAAACCACTTTACATTTGACGAGGGCTTCCGTTTCAATTTGGGTTCACAAATTAATATTGGAGGATTTTGGATTATTAAAAAATTGTTTTAAATCTATTAAAAGAATTCAAAATTTGTCTCTCGAAACTTTTTTTTTTTGAACTTATTACATTGTTGTACGTAAAAAAATGATATCACTAAACCCCCCAAGGTTTACCCAATTTGAGAACCCCACTATAGTGAACTAGATGATAAAACCCTCTATAATCTTCAAATGTTAGCAAAATCCGTTAAAGACTTACAGTTGTCAGAAAAGGGGTAAAATGAATAATACACTTTGAGGGGGTTTAAATTTGGGAAAATCTGGAAGGTTTAAATAATTGTCCTTTCTTTGTTTAAGGGATACTTAAGGGTTAAATAAAAACAATAGTATTCAGTGATTGTTGAAATGCATTTTTCTGAGAATTTCTGCTTTTAAAGCTCAAATAGTGGAAGAAAAAATGGGGTCAAAATAATGAATAATGGGGTAGAATGTTGAGTCAAGATGTGTTTGTTTGCGTTTTGAGAGTGTAGCTGCTTGTTAAATTGTACTTTTCTAAGAATTTCTGCATTTAAAGCTCGAATAGCAGAAGAACAAATGGGGTCAAATAACGAATAATGGTGAAGAATGTAGAATCAAGATGTGGTTTGTTTGTGTTTTGAGTATGTGGGCGTGTTTTACATTGATCCACCTGCTTGTTGAAATGCATTTTCCAAGAATTTTCTGCATTTAAAGCTCAAATGGGACTGGCATGTTTATGTTCGAAAAATGTTAATAATGTGTGCATTAATTTGATTTTCTTGTCTTGCATTGTGAAAATATGCGACATGGCTCTCTGAATCTCTATCTTTATAATGAGTGATTGTTTATCTTGCAGCATGACCAGAATTCTTGTACCTTGAGATGGTTTTGGACTTTTTGAAGCTGAATTTAAGCAGACAATTTGAATTATGGAATCTGGACATGAGGGTGGAACTAGCAGTGAATTGAAGGCGAATCAAACTGTCACTTCTCCTAAAGGTACCAGCTCCTCCTTATCCTCTTCAGGCAAAGACCTCAACAATAAGTCCAAAACAGGTGCTAATGGCACTCGGTTAGCTTCAGATATTAATGAAGAGGATTTTGCTATCAGCTCTCTGTCCAGGCTAGAACAACCAAATGATGGATTGAATAATGAATCGGCAACAGAATCTCCTCCAACACAGGTGATGGCGCGAACTGGTGATGATGATGATAATGACTCTGGTGATCCTGGTAGGATCCCACCTCATGTGTTTGCTGGAAATAAAGCTAATGCTCCGGTAGAATGGAGTGTTGCTTCTAATGAATCCTTGTTTAGCATTCACATGGGGAATATGAGTTTCACTAGAGATCAAGTAAGCTGGATGGGAAAATCTGGAGAACTTGGTTTAGCTGGTGACAGTCAATTTTCTGGGCCCTTAATTGACCTCCCGAGTATGCAGCCACCAACACCAACACCAACACCAACACCACATAAATCACCTGAACCTCACATGAGAAGTGGAAATTTAAACCAGGGGTTAGGAGCAACTGAAGCTGCAGCAGCCGAAACAATGAGAGAGGTCATAAGGGAAAACGCTGTTGATCATAGCAATGAGAAATTGAAATTGTCTCTTCCCAAAATGGATCCCCGTTCACTTAAACATGATGCTAGCACCAAATCGTTTGCATTTCCAATGTAAGAGCTATTTCACTTCATTTGTTGAAACAAAAACTTGTGATTGACAATATGTATACTTCTGAAACTGAACAAGTTTCTTGTTAATGAAGATTGACAGGGGATGTAGAAAATTGTACGTCGATAAAGGGGAAGAAACAGCAATCATTGCAGCCTGAGACGCCCCAAGCATCAGAACCACAGACTCCAGTACCACCACAGAGCCCTAAAGCAAACAACAAAGCAGCCAGTCAGGCGAAATGGTATTCATGCTTCTCTTGTTGCTCAATCTGCTGAGGAGGGGCATTAGGGGACCCCCGGATGTATATTCATTACTCGGTCTTGAACAGAACTCAGTCCTCTCTCATACAATTCTTTTTTTTTTTTCTTAATTTTCTTTTGTAGCTTTGCAGTTAATTAACCTCTTCTCTTGTTGATTAGTACATCCAATCTGATGCATTTCCTATTCTTTGCAATTCACACCATTAATGTACACAGATTCTCACCGAATGTATGTGTCAGGATTAGATTTTGTTGTAGTATTATTTGAAGAAAGCAATAGTCGATTAATCAGAAAAATATCCAGTCCAGCGAAATGATTATTGCTGTATGGTGAACTAGTAAGGCTTCATCAAGTTGTTGTTTAATGTTAGCAGTCAGCCATTAATGTATATTCAAAGCTCTAGGTTATTCAGCTCTATTTGCTCTCTTTTGTTTTCTGCAGTTTAATTGAATTCTGAATTGGGGTTGCTTTAATTTTTCACACTGTGATGAGTAGTGAAGGTTCATACAAGCTGAGATTTGCTGAAGAATTTGAGTTGTAAAATATAGATTAGACACATTTGAGATTAGATTGTTTAATGCAATAAAATTTAGATTATTTTTTCCAAAATGTGTAAAAATGGAGAAAACTGTGTTTGCGAATCATGTTACATTATAAGGAGTGGATTTAATATTTTATATTAAATTCGTCTAAGATATCTCTCGGGTATACTTGGACCTTTTCAATTGTTTCTCTTATCCTCTCAAAGATATATCTCGAGCATATATCGGCTCTCTTCAATTTTGACATGTTACAACAAGATATAGAGAAGACTTTCTCGCCAAAATGATTATTTATTTTCAAGAACGAGTTTATATTACAAAATTCACTAAAACCATTTTACTTGTACCAACAACATTTACAACAAACAATATGAGTTGGATTAAAAAAAAAAAAAAAAAAAGGATATATTTAGTCAATATTTATATAATCATATACTTAATTTGGTATAACATTTTAAATATAAATTTAACCAAGTTTTATAAATAGATCTTTTAGCAACAAAATTGGTTGTTGCCAATCACAACTTTTAGTAAAACAAAAATTTGTTTAATTACATTGTAATTTTTTTGTTAAAGAAAATAAGGTTATATTACGAGAAAGATAAACTTTTATTATCATATTAAGAGTTCATGTTAGCAAAAAAAAACCCCCATTTGGTTTGACTTATTTATCGAATAAAAGAGTTTTTTTAATTTCAAAAGATCATTTTAATTTTTTTGAATCATTTGATTGTAACTCAAAAATAGTTTATGAGTTAAATAAACCACTTTACATTTGACGAGGGCTTCCGTTTCAGATTTGGGTTCACAAATTAATATTGGAGGATTTTTGGATTATTAAAAAAAAATTGTTTTAAATCTATTAAAAGAAATTCAAAATTTGAGATTCTCTCGAAACTATTTTTTGAACTTATTAACATTGTTGATTCGTAAAAAAATGATAATCACTAAAACCCCCCAAGGTTTACCCAAAATTTGAGAACCCCCTTAGGTGCTAGTAGTGAACTAGTGATGTAAAACCCTCTATAATCTGTCAAATGTTAGCAAAATCCTGTTAAAGACTTACAGTTGTCAGAAAAGGAGTAAAATGATTATAATACACATTTTAGGGGGGTCTCAAATTTGGGCAAATCTGGAAGGGTTTAAAATAACTGTCCTTTCTTTGTTATAAGTGGATACTTAAGGGCTTTTGGTTGGCGATTACCGGGTTATATCATTTTATATTACTTTATTACCATGGTTGTCAAGTAATATAAGATTCTGATAATCTTCAAATACCAATAATAATTACTGTTGGTAATATTGAAAGTAATCTGATTACCTCTATTTTCTTTGGTATTGTAAGATTACCAGGGTGATCTTTTTTTTTTTTTTGTTACAATTCTATGCCTTATTAATAAAATTTTTGGACAGTAATGCCCTTATTTTTAAATTTACTTACATGAATGTTGCTTTTACTATTTCACCCCAATTAATTAACTTTTTGGACAAAATTACCCTTGAATTCAAAACAAATTGCAGCCCACTCAAGCCACCACCCCCACCCACTTGCCACCAACAATCACCGCCATGGCCAACTGCCAAAAAGGCGCACGAAAGGTCGAAAATGGCTACCATGCACCAATATGGCCATTTCCGGCCAGATATCTGGCTGGAAATAGCCAGATCGTGACAGATTTGGTTGTCAACGGCCGGATCCATCGATTTGGTTGTTGAATGGCCATACGGCGCACAGAAGCCATTTCTTGCCTTCCGTGCGCCATTAGGTTGTCGGCTGTTTGCGGTCAGCGGTGATTGCCAGTGGCTGGGTTGTGGGGGTGCTTTGTTGATTTTCCAAACTTTTATCATGAGGTTGTTTTTGCTAAGTTTTTAAATAGGGGGGTTATAATAATCCAAATAATAATCAATATTAAAAAAATAATATAATAATAATATTTAATTAAAGGATAATTCAATAATTTAAATAATATATCCATTAATTTATTCCTCCCAACTAAACATATTAATAAAATATACCACTAATTTATTTCAACTAACCAAATACATTTTCTTAAAGATTCACAGTAATCTTCAAGGTAATCTAACTTTTCAGTAATCCAACATTCCCTGAACCAAATGCACCCTTAAGGTTAAAGATAAAAATAGTATTTAGCCTCTAAAGCTGTGTGAATTGTTAGTTCTGGGGGAGTTTTGTGTCATTATTGATACATGTAGAGGTTTCTAGTTGAGTAAACAACTTTTTTTTAATCCCGTTTCCCCCGCTTTTTTTTTTTTCTTAATTTTCTTTTGTAGCTTTGCAGTTAATTAACCTCTTCTCTTGTTGATTAGTACATCCAATCTGATGCATTTCCTATTCTTTGCAATTCACACCATTAATGTACACAGATTCTCACCGAATGTATGTGTCAGGATTAGATTTTGTTGTAGTATTATTTGAAGAAAGCAATAGTCGATGAATCAGAAAAATATCCAGTCCAGCGAAATGATTATTGCTGTATGGTGAACGAGTAAGGCTTCATCAAGTTGTTGTTTAATGTTAGCAGTAAGCCATTAATGTATAATCAAAGCTTTAGGTTATTCAGCTCTATTTGCTCTCTTTTGTTTTCTGCAGTTTAATTGAATTCTGAATTGGGGTTGCTTTAATTTGTCACACTGTGATGATGAGTGAAGGTTCATACAAGCTGAGATTTGCTGAAGAATTTGAGTTGTAAAATATAGATTAGACACATTTGAGATTAGATTGTTTAATGCAATAAAATTTAGATTATTTTTTTCCAAAATGTGTAAAAATGGAGAAAACTGTGTTCGCGAATCATGTTTCATTACAAGGGACGGATATAATATTTTATATCCTTACATAGCTATCATACTTTTATATAAATAGATTGTGTATTCTCAACTCAAATTGAATAACTCAATACAATTAAAATTAAATTCCTCTAAGATATCTCTCGGGTATACTTATACATTTTTAGTTGTCTCTCTTGCCCTCTCAAATATATATCTCGAGCATATCTCGGCTTTCTTCAATTGTCTCTCAATTTTGACAGATTATAACAAGGTATAGAGAAGACTTTCTCGTCAAAATGATTATTTATTTTCAAGAACGAGTTTATATTACAAAATTCACTCAAACCATTTTATCAAATAAAAGAGTTTTTTTAATGTCAAAAGCTCTTTTTTTTTTTTTTTTTTTTTTTTTTGAATCATTTGATTGTAACTCAAAAATAGTTTACGAGTTAAATAAACCACTTTACATTTGACGAGGGCTTCCGTTTCAGATTTGGGTTTACAAATTAATATTGGAGGATTTTTGGATTATTAAAAAAATTAGTTTTAAATCTATTAAAAGAAATTCAAAATTTTCTCTTGAAACTTTTTTTTTTTTGAACTTATTAACATTGTTGATACGTAAAAAAATGATGATCACTTAAACCCCCCAAGGTTTACCCAAAATTTGAGAACCCCCTTAGGTACTAGCAGTGATATAAAACCCTCTATAATCTGTCAAATGTTAGCAAAATCCCGTTAAAGACTTACAGTTGTCAGAAAAGGGGTAAAATGAGCATAATACACGTTTGAGGGGGTTTTAAATTTGGGAAAATCTGGAAGGGTTTAAATAATTGTCCTTTCCTTGTTATAAGCGGATACTTAAGGTTAAATAAAAACAATAGTATTCAGCCTCTAAAGCTGTGTGAATTGTTAGTTCTGGGGGAGTTTCGTGTCATTATTGATACATGTGGAGGTTTATAGTTGAGTAAACAACTTTTTCCCACCCAAGGTTTGCCAGAATTACCCTTTCCCACCCAAAGTTTGCCTTAATGACCCTTTCCCACCCAAAGTTTATATTCCGTTAATACCCAAAATACACTTCACTTTCTTAGCCGATGTTCGACGAATTACCAGGAGTCAGGGTAAAAAGGGTTTTGTAAAGTGGAGGCTAATGAATCGAATAGTGGTGATCGATTAAATATTTACCGTTTGAATCAGCTAGAAATCATCTAAGAATATGAAACTCTAGCTTTGTGGTGATCGGCAATCGACAAGAAATCAGTTGCTGGAGCGAGAGGGGTTTTATAGAGAGGAGACCGGAGGTTCAAATGGTGATGACGGTGAGAATTTTTGCTATCGTGATTAGATATGAAATGTTAACTTTGGGTGGGAAAAAGTCGTTTACTCTTTATAGTTTGGCCAAACCTTGGAGAATTTAAATAATTCTTCCACGTAAATTATATTATATATATTCATAAAATCTATTTGAAGAAGCCGAAACGAATATATTGACAAGGGCTACACGGTATGGTCGGATCCAATTTTTGAAATCCGTTTAGATTATTACTAAAAATACCCACTCAATTTTAAAAACATAAAATTACAGCACTAAGTACACCGATGTGGGTGCCCAACACTATTGGGCTCAAATCTAATCTACAAAGCCCATAAAGCCAATGGTTTAACTCGTAAATACTTAACAATAACAAGGTAAAAACAAAAACGGTAAAACTAAATCAATTTCAGGCGGTTCATATAAAATTTAAAAACACGCGCGGTCCCCGCCTCTGAAAAGAACAAAAAACATTTTTCAAAAACGTTTTGCCGCCAAAGACTGCGTTTTTAGATCTCAGCGGGAAACTAATTAAAAACACAGAAAACTGGCGCCACAACCAGTCCATTAAAATACAAAAACAAACTCATTCTGATTCATTTTCATCAATCAAATTCGAATTCTCAATTAGCAGAGCAAGTCTCAGAGAAAGAGAGAGAGAGCAAGAAAGAGGAAATGGCGAAAACAGTAACCCCAGATGCAATATCAATCTTATTATCAAACCCCTCTCCAGATTCGTCCTCTGATCTCCCTGAGATCGTCGTCCAAGTTTTAGATCTCAAGCTTACTGGCAACCGATACATGTAAATCTTTTTTATTTTTTATTTTTCATTTTTAACATTTTTTTGGTTTATTGAAGTTTGTTTCCATCTGTTTTTTATTTTATTAGTAGACCCGATAGATTTGGTGCTTAGATTGGTTTTATGAAGCTAGGCTAAAGGTATTTTAAATACTTTCTTGTTTGAGTATATGAAGCTTGATTTAGATATCGTGGGTTTGTTTGTAGGTTTAATGCTAATGATGGGAAGTTGACTTAAGGGGCATTTTGCCATCAAATTATCGTCAGAAGTCATCTCAGGAAACATTCAGAACAAGGGTCTCATTCGTATTCTCGACTATGCTCTCAACGACTCCCGACTCTAAATCTGAAAAGTAAGCATCATTTTAGGTTTTTATTTTATATATTTTTTTTATAACTATTTTTGTGAATAAAATAATGCTTTGTGGTTAAATTGGCGTGTTTTTTTTTAATTGTTTCAGATACTTGATTGTGACAAAATGTAAAGTGGTGGCACCTGCACTTGAAATGGAGATTAAAAGTGAGGTGAAAAGTCAGGAAGTTGGTGGTATAATTTTGAAGCCAAAACAAGAAAATGAGATGAAGAGTGAGGTGAAAAGAGAAGGGGCTTGCATTCTTGTCAGACCTAAACAAGAAATAATTTCTAAATCTGCTGCTCAAATAGTTCATGAACAGCATGGAAAGTAAGTATTTTTCCTTTTTGTTTAAATGTAACCCAAATGTTGTATACTTTGTTGGGTTTTGGCATAGGTAATGAAATGTTGATGTTTTATTTGCTAAATCTCAGTATGGCTCCTGCCGCCCGAATGGCTATGACTAGAAGAGTTCATCCTCTTGTTTCCTTGAATCCCTACCAAGGCAATTGGACAATAAAAGTTCGTGTTACAAGCAAAGGTAACATGCGTACTTACAAGAATGCAAGAGGAGAAGGGTGTGTCTTCAATGTGGAGTTAACAGATCAAGATGTAAGTCAAAAAGTTAATCTGCTTAAGCACTTTTTCCTTTAGGGTCATGTATATGCGAAATTATAATAATGTTTAGTATAAATTATTATCTTTTAACATGTTAGTGTTGGATGGTTAAAATTGATTTGTTTGGTGCAGAGTACACAAATACAAGCAACAATGTTCAATGATGCTGCAAGGAAATTCTATGACAGGTTCCAATTGGGAAAGGTGTATTACATATCTCGGGGAACACTTAAGCTTGCTAACAAGCAATTCAAAACTGTGCAAAATGATTATGAAATGACCTTGAATGAGAATTCTGAGGTGGAAGAAGCCAGTAATGAAGAAACCTTCATCCCTGAAACAAAATTTAAATTTGTTCAAATTGATGAGTTGGGCCCTTATGTTAACGGAACTGAACTTGTTGGTAAGACAACTAAGAATCCCTTGCTGGCAATTTTTTATGTAATACTATATGTAAAGCTAATTTATGTGGTTGTGTTTTCCAGATATTATTGGAGTTGTTCAAAGTGTTTCTCCAACAATGAGCATTCGAAGGAAGAGTAACAATGAAATGGTTCCAAAGCGTGATATGACTGTTGCAGATGAGACGTGAGTTTATATTTGTTTTGCTTGAGTACTTTTTTTGTCTGGTATTATTATATTGATAATGTATTATGCATATGTATTTGGATTACAGGAAGAGGACAGTTGTTGTCTCTTTGTGGAATGACCTGGCAACTAATGTAGGCCAGGAATTGCTTGATATGGTCGATCAATCTCCAGTAGTTGCTATTAAATCCCTCAAAGTAGGAGACTTTCAAGGTAGTCTAAAGTTGAATGTAATAGAATCATGCAAATAGAGATACATGGTAGTGAAGAAGCTGTACTCATTTGTAATTTATTTTTATGCTATTGCAGGTATATCTTTGTCAGCACTTGGAAAAAGCACAGTACTGATCAATCCTGATATTCCAGAAGCAAAGAAGTTGAGGGCCTGGTAAGTAATTGACATTGATCAAGTGATTGTCTTGGGTTTTTCATTCTCGCAACAAGTGTTTTAAGCTATATCCTTATTGCTATGCAGGTTTGATTCAGAAGGTAAAGAGACTTCAATGGCCTCTATTGGCTCTGGTTTGAGTCCTCCAACCAAAATTGGGGCCTGGTCCATGTACTCTGATAGAGTAACCCTTTCTCACATAACAAGTGACCCATTAATGGGAGAAGAAAAGGTATTAGAACTTCATCTCTTAGATAAAGTACCTTTCATTATGAAGATCATTGTGTTTTTTTCAACAATATCATCTTGAATTTCTATTTAAAGTAAATGTGAGATTAGTTCCCTGTGTTTAAAACAGGTTCCCTTTGATTAAATTGAAAGTATGTGCAGCTTTTGTAATGTGGATTTGTTTCTACTCTTTGCAGCCAGTGTATTTTAGCATTAGAGGATTTATTAGCCTCATCAAGCCTGATCAGACTATGTGGTACCGTGCTTGCAAAACTTGCAACAAAAAAGTGACAGATGGAATGGGATCTGGGTATTGGTGTGAAGGATGCCAGAAAAATGATGAAGAGTGTTGTTTAAGGTGAGAAACATCTGGATATTGAAGCTATTATAATATACAATCTTCAATGGAATCAACAAATTTCACCTTCCTAAAAATGATTTATGTTCCATTTTTCAGATACATTCTGGTTGTGAGGGTTTCTGATGAAAGTGGTGAAGCTTGGATTTCTGTATTTAATAATGAGGCAGAAAGTATAATTGGGTGCTCTGCTGATGAGCTTGATAAATTGAAGTCACAGGTAAACAATTTGGAGCCCTCCGTTTAGACTCTAATTCCAAGTACCAAAATCATAAACTAGTTTTTCATTCATTTCATGACATTGTCTCTTTCAGGTGGAAGATAATTCATACCAAATGAAATTGAAGGAAGTTACTTGGGTTCCTTATCTTTTCCGGGTTAGTGTCATTCAACGTGAGTACAACAATGAGAAAAGACAAAGGATAACTGCAAAGGCTGTTGCTCCAGTTGATTTTGCTGCAGAATCCAAGTTTTTGCTTGAAGAGTTAACAAAGAAAGCTTCTCAATAGGATGTATTTAGCTCTGATCATTGCATTATCTAGGTTGATCGTCTTTTTGATGCCAGTTTCTTGCTTGTATATGATGATTGATGGAAGTTCAATTCAATTAGGAAATATGGCTGTTGGTTCTCACAACATTTTGCTTGTAATATATGCTTAAGCGGTCAATCAAAGTATTCTTTGTTTGCACTTGACACCTATTATGATTATCCATCTTAGTTCTCATTCAACGAGTGCACTTGATGGTTGCTAAATTTCCAATACCATTTTCTATTTACAACTTGTGTAAGTTGCACACCCAGCTCATTTGATGATTGTTTAAGGCTATCGTTAATTTTTTTTCTCATTGTGATTTATGCTTACGTCCAAGATTTGTATGAACACTGAATACATTGCATATTGCTGAGTTAGTGCTCATGGTGTAGATCTAGTGAAGTTGAATAAGCAAAAGTTGCTTTCCTTTTTGAAAGGTTATTGGCTTGTAATTGATTTTGTATGTAGATATTTTTTTTTCCTTCATTTGGGGAAAGGAACAAAATCTTTAAAGATTATAGCTTATTTGATAGTCCAAAAATTGTCATAATTCTGGCCCGAACGGCGAACACTAGTGTTTTAAAACTTGGCTTGGTCAGTTTAATCAGTTTAATTGGGACTTGGGAGCTTCTTCTGAATAATTGAAAGTTGTAATGTCGAGATTTTTGAAGAGAAAGTGTCGGTGAGTGCAATGGTGGTGATGGAATTGATTTTCGATAAGTGAATCAATCGGAAATCGAAAAAAAAAAGCGGTGGCAATAGCTAGCTTTTAGCAATTGGCAAGGCTAACGAGGGTGGGGTGAGGTGAGTTTTGTTTGGGAGGAAGAGGGGAGTATTTTCAGAGTGATGGGGAGGGTTGTCGATACTGGTGTCGATGAGATCTGGTCGAAATTGAATTGATTTTAGCTAGATCTTGGGTAGATTTTTTGGGGAATGGGCTCAAGGGATGATTGGGATTGCATTTGAGGTGTCGTCGCTGCCAACCAGTGGTCGGCCAATTGTATTTGGGGTGTGTTTGCTAAATTTCAAACTTATAGGGATTTAAAATTTTTAGGAGTGTATTTGCTGAATTTTAAAAGTTTTGTCATTCAGTTTGATCGGTATGTCAAACCAATTAAATCGGTCAACTTGGGACCCGACAACTTTGCCGAGTTGGTTATTAAAACATTATAGGAAACCCTTGATCATAAAAAAAAAAAAAAAAAAAAATCATCATAATTATGCTGTTAAACCTTGCAACCTTTTGGCCTATGGTTCTGCTATTTTTATGAGGGGCTCAAACTTCAAATTTTGTGAAACCAAACATAAGTTTATCATAAGGTTTAGCTCTTAGGGTGCGTTTGGTTCGGGAAATGTTTTATTGTTGAAAAGGTAGGATTACCTTTGAGAAAGATTACCTTTAAGATTACAAGGAAATGTTATACCACTAGGCCTGGTTAGATTATTTGGTATAAATAATTAAGATGTTTGGTTGGAAAGAATAAAATATTATCGACAAAGGCTTTTATTGAATTGCCCTTACTTTTTAATATTATTATTAGTTAAATAAATTCCTTTAACCCCTTATATTTGAGAATTTAGCTAAAACACCCCCAACAACAAAGTTTAATTTTTAACAAAATACCTCAGCCACCCAAGACCATTGCCGACCGTCGGCCACCGACGTCAGTCACCAAAATGGCACACGACCAGAGAGACCAGGCTAGTCGTGCGTCACTTTGGCTATTTTCGGCCAGATCGAAGGTAAAAAATAGCTAGATCATTGTGGATCTGGCCGAAAACGACCAGATCCACAGCGATTTGGCTGTTTCTAACCAGATCCATACGAAATTGATCGTAAAAGGCCACAAATGACCGATGTATTTTGGCCGTTTCAGGTAAGATCTACGACGATCTAGCCATTTTCGACTTTCGATATAGCCGTAACTGCCAGATCAACGCATGGCCGGCCAGATCCTGTTGGTCGTGCGTCAATCTGGCGACTATTGCTGGTGGGCGACGGTGGTCTTTAGTGGCTGGGAGTATTTTGTTAACTTTTAAACTTTTTGTGGCTGGAGTGTTTTAGCTAAATTTTAAAATGTAGGGGGTCTAGGTTATTGTTATTTGATAGATATTTGAGGTCAATTGTGTTTAGAATGGTATTTAATTAAGGGCAAAATGAGTATAAAATTAAGATTACCCCGGTAATCTGATTATTGTTGTCGAATTTCTCAAGTGTACGAAATCGTGCAAGTAATAAAGTATATAAAATACGGATATCGAACCTAAGGGAATTACTATTATCAATTACCAATTAAATTATCCTATTACTATTTGATCAATCCAAATTTTATCAAGGAAAACCTAAATTAAATAAACAATTGAATTTAAAAAGAAAACTAAAAAGAGAACAATTAAAATAAACCTTTGGGTAAAAACAAGATGACTAGACCTAGGGCATAGATTTCACACCAACTCTTATTCATATGTATTGATCTCTTATTCTAATTTTATTAAGCTCTTCCTACAGGTCAAACTCCTTAAATTTCCAATAACTTTATCTCGAACAATTATCAAATTAACCCCTAATTACTAACCCGAATTATTTCTAATCAGATTTAAGCAATTGGGGATCATTACGCTCTATGGAGTTTACGAAAACCTTACAAGTCGCGGTAACCTATCTCTAGCGTTCGCTCAACCTATGATTTTACTACCGTAGACCAACTAAGTATCATCTCTCGATCTCAACTTAGTCTATTAGTTCATTCAATTTTTGGGCCCTTAAGAATCAAAAGCATTAGGAATAATAGTAAAACTTAGGAAGAATTCTTAATAAACATTAACAATCAAAGATCAATACATAATTAAGAGATTGGGCTACATCTTAGCCCTAGAGAATAAAATTAGTTCATAATAAACATGAAAGAAACAATCATATTTATTAAAACATTCATCATGAGTTTACAAGGAAAGAACAAGGAAAACTTCTCTATATTGTGAATCAAAGCTCCAGAACTTCTGTTACTTCTCTTCTCTGCAGATTTTTCTCCCTTTCTTCTCACCAAAGAATCCCCAAATAATGCTAAAAGACTTCTATTTATATCCCACAAGGGTTAGGGTTTGTTTTTCCTTAATTCTATTTGATTTAAAACCCTTAACCCTATTCTCCTGGCTAAAAACGGATAACAAGTTAGTGACTTCCGTGACTTTGCCACGGCACTGTGCTGTGGCACAGTAGCTACTGGGAAAAGTGTGCCGCGGCACAGTAGCTGCTGCCCTTTTCCCGCACCATTTCACTATTTTTCAAAGATGTTAATTTTTGAACTTGATAAAGATGGAATTTGGAAAAGTTGTAAGCATATGAAATGTAGCCCTTTGAATTAGATTTACAAAGGTCCAAGAATCGTCTTAATCAGAGTTCTACAGCTCAAGATATTCTCAAAATACCAAGGCATGCGCAAGCTAGAACGTAATCTAGAATCTTCTCTTTACTTCAACTTCCATAACTTCTTCAATTCAACTCCGATTCTTGATCTGTTTGTTTCCACTCATTACTCATTCCGTTGCCAACATGATTCTTCACCCGAGCATAACATTTAAGCACTAGTAGCCTGAAAAACACTCAAAAACACCTGTGATCCTGTAAAAGATAATTATGAAAATATTAAGCAACTTTACCAAATTAAGTCTAATTTCCCACAGTTAATCCCCATAAACCACTAATTAAATATGTATTTTCAAGTTCTTATCAATTACCCCCTATTTAACCCACAATAATCACTATTGGTGTTGAAAGATTACCAAAATCTTTTACTATTTAACGATCAAACAAGGGAATGTCCAGAATTAAAGATAGATTACTGGAGTTATCTTTCCAGAGCCCTAACCAAACACACCCTTATGGATAGATTTTAGAGGTGTGTTTGTTTGCAAGGACTGCATAGTACTATATTACATTAAGGGTGTGAACAATACTAGCGCTATTATTACTGCTATATTGTTATATTTTCTTAATCAGGTGTTGTAATTTTGGAAGAATGGGACTATATTATAAGTTGTATGTTGTGAAGCGGCCTTGGAGAGCAGTGTTAAGGTTGTAACTTTCAAGCTCTTGTAAAAACTCAACACGCTGCTGTTATTAAGTATTTTAGATGTGATTTGGGTGGTAAATATACTTCTAATAAATTTTGTGAATTGCTTGCAGAACTATTCACCAAACTTCTTGTATAGACACTCTTGAGCAAAATGATGTTGCTGAAAGAAAACATAGGCACATTGTTGAAACTGCTCGTTCTCTTTTGTTGTCTTCTTCTGTTCCTAGTGAGTTTTGGGGAGAAGCAGTTCTTACTGCAATCAACTTAATAAATAAGATTCTACGTCTCACACTTTAGGTTTGTCACCTTTTGAAAAATTATATGGGTATGCTCCTGAATCGCTCCCGTGAGAGGGGGTGCGTGTATATATGGGACTATAGGCCTTAACCCAACATGACAACATTTTGGGCCTAAAGCCTAGAAATAAAACCATGCAGCCCTATAGTGCCAAAATGGACAATATCGTGTTAGACCATTTATAACACTGTAATAATTTTAGAAAATCTGTCCCAAATCTTCTGTGGGTTTACTCAGCACTACTTAAATATTAATTACTATGGGTGCATTTGGTTTATTATTTTGGATATTATTTTGGGGATAGTATTGGATAGTTGGATAGGGTTATAATTGCGAGAATAGGATTTGTAAAATATGTGTTTGGTAGAGTATTTTGACGTTGATATTTGTGTTGAATATTTGATTAATATATATTTTTTTATAAATGATTTATTAATATAATATTTTATTGTGTTTTGTTAAAATAATGTATTATTATATATATAACTTATCAAGTTACATTTTAATAATACTAAATATTTTATTGGTAATTTTGTCACCCGTATATATTAAAAAACAAAAACCCATATTAATTTCAAGTACTAATCCAATTGTTTAAAAACATCACATTAATACATATATGACAAAAGTACTAATTATCAACCTTTACAATCATTATTACACGTATACTCCATTAACAACTACGACATGGTCTACTGTATTGTCCAC